CGAGAGAAAAATGGCAGTTGTGAACGTGGAAGACTCATACGCTGCGATTGTGCGAGTGCTTCGCTTCATTTACTACGACCAGGTCGCGCTACAGCAGTTGAAGAGGAACGAAGAGACCGATGCAGATGTAAGTGATCAACTCCTGGAAGATCTCGTGGCAGCGGACAAGTACGGATTGGAGCGAATGAAGCGTTTGTGCGAGCACGCGATTGCTCTGAACACAGCCAACTGCCTTGAAGTCCTGATCGTTGCCGAGTTGGTACATGCCGCACATCTGAAGCAGGTGGCCATGCGATACATACAGACAAATCTCTCAGACGTGACAGCTCGGCGAGAAGAATTTCAACGTTTCCAGGAAGATTTTCCTCAATTACTAGAAGAACTTTACACCAGTCTCCGTGATGCAAGTCGAGACGAATATTTACTCAGAGTAAGTACTTTCTTCATTATTTCAGCATTCTCACAAGCTTACATCACTCTCTTGTTTGTAGGAATGGCATACGGAAGTGGGGACCAGCTTGGCTGCCCAGCGTGAAGAACAAGAGCTACAATGGGGCAAAAAGTCAGATACAGCAACGTTCCCATGGGTGCCACTGAGTTTAACTGTGGCTTTTGGCACCATGTACTTGTCCATGATGCACGCTCAAGAGCATGAGTTTTCTGCAGTCCCCGCTACTAACTTAGTAGCGATCGCCGCTATTGGAGGAGCCATCATGATGGGATATCTGTAGATTACAACGAGGCTTCTTACTGCGAAGCATGTGAGCCACATCTGGACTGCTGGTCGTCAAGGCGAAGCGAATGCTGTCTGCATCACACCGATCTCGCAGAATCTCCACTACGTCTGCATATCCCTTTACAGCGGCTATGTCGAATGCGCAAATGATGCTGGAACTCTCGCTTTTATCCATCAAATTCTCTACCACAGCAGCATGGCCATTCGCAGCAGCACAAACCAACGCACAGCCTATAGTGCGTCGATTCACTCTCTCCAGTAGCATTTGTACCAGCACGAGAAGTCCAAGACTGGCTGCATCAGAGAATACTCCAGTATACGCGGCTAGATCGCATCTCCCGAGTACTAGCGTTACCATTTCCGGGTTAGCGTCCGATGCAGCACGTAGCAGAATCCGCTCGACCATTTTTCCAGTACTTTTGGTTAGTAAAAGTTCCAACAATTTCTGTCGATCCTGTACCGCAGCAAAGACTGCAGCCTCCACAATAGCATCTGGACTGCTTTTCTTGACCAATTCAGCCAACAAGTCCGGGTAATTATTCTCCACTGCGATCAGTAAGGCACGTCTCGGGTGGAATGAAGTGCACTTGGAGACTAACAGTCTTGCCATGTCAATAGATCGAGTCGATGCGGCAATCTCAGCCACAGTAGCGATAGAACTGAAATGGTAGTCGTCTTTCAAGTCCTTCGAAATGCCAAGTATCATTTCCAGAACCGCCAATTGATGAGTGCGAGCTGCTCTCACTGATGCCCGACTGACTGGAAGAGAAATGCTGCTAAGTAACAGCTTGACCATGTCGAAATAACCACTTCCCACGGCAGATAGAAATGCAGGCTCAAGAAGAGTCTGAACCCGAGACATCGCGTTACACTTGCCACTCACAGGAGAGATATCGTTTCTACTAAACCGATCTAGCAAAACTTTTACCACCGCGCAGTGATTATTCTTGATTGCTTTTAGCAGAGCCTGAAGTATCTTGTCCTCTTTTACGTGAAATCTCTGCAGCAGCAATTCAACCACATTGTTATGACTACAAGTTGCAGCCATTGCCAATTCATCCGTGAGAACAGCTTCTCTGTAGTGTTCAATCAGCAATTCAACAACACCACCGTGACCTCCCTGCACAGCCATTTTCAACGCTGGTTTTTCGAGATTTGCAAGTGCAGGACGTCCCCTACGCTCAACCGTACGATGTCTCTCAATAAGAACCCGTAATACTGCGGCGTGGCCATTTTGTGCTGCAGCGAGAAAAGGCTTTACAACGTCGTAAGTATGCGGATGATAACTCTCCACCAATTCAATTAGGCCATTAGCTGCGGCCGCTTGTACCACAATACCAGCATCTCGGTTGGAATAAGGATGAATCCTCTGTAGATATCGTATCACTCGACCTTGATTGTATCCAGCTGCAGCAGCAAGTTCTCTATCGGGATTGCACTGCGATGGATAATACTTATGTAGCCATTTGAGCGTGTTGTGATTGCCATTGGAGGCTGCTCCGACGAAAGCTGCTGTCGAGCAGCCTTCGCTTCTGTTGAAATGGAGCCACTGCAGGAGCGAAGCGCGTCCTCTAGCTGCAGCTCCATCCATTGCCCCAGCTGTATAGGGACGAAAAGGTTCGTACGCTCGGATAATGCGCTGAAGGTTGTTGTACACGGCACCATCGATGGTGTTGGGGATAACAAAGCCGCTGATAACCTGGAGCACGTGGTGAAGACCCTGAAGTTTGGGAGGTAGTGCCAGCTTTACCAAGAGTAGCGGGGGT